GCTTAGTCATATACCCCCCAAAAACGTTCCTTATACACTCAAATATTCATAGCACTTTTGTGACTGCCCATCAATTGGGGCATGGCTAAATAAACTGATACATAATTGTAATGGGATACTACTGCGTTGTATGTAAGATATGAAAAATATGGTGAATACAGAGAGGTTTGGAAAGACTTAAATGAACTTCTTCACAGTGAAGTAAGCAGAACCAAGAAAGCAATATACACAGCTACAACAATGGAAATGGAAAGAATATCAGCCACAAAACAACCAAAACCAAATATTGCAAAACTATAAAGTCCAGCCTTGGCCACAAAGAAGAAATATGAGAAGATGCACCCCATTCAGCCCCTCCTTTGCAGAGGTAGGAATCTATGGCCGAGGTGTGAAATGTTACATATCACAAGACTTTTTTTCAATGTGTTGATTGGTTTTCTCAAATTTTTTACTATCTTTTTTTTTTTTGGCAATCAGGGTTAAGAGACTTGCCCAGGGTCACACAGTTAGTAAGTGTCAAGTGTTTGGTCTCAGGCCAGATTTGAACTCAGGTCCTCTTGACTTCAGGGCCAGCGCTCTATCCATTGTGCCACCTAGCTGCACCCTCTTTTTTTTTTAAAATAAATTCTTTGTTATAAAGAATGACTCTCTTGGAAGAGAAGGGAGAGGGATACTATGGGGAAAGCAGGCAATACAATAAATATAATAAAAAGATATATATTTTAAGAATCAATAAAATATATTTTAAGTAGTTTAAGTAAAACTGCAATTCTAGAAATGTAGAGTCATGCTTCAGTTCAAAAAATCAGCTTAACAAGTTGAACATGGGGAAGGCCTGTATTTCAGCACTTCCTCTGCAAAAGATCTGGGGCTCTTACAGGGCTGCAAAATCAATATAATTCAACAGTCTGATGTGATGGACAAAAAAAGTTAACACAATCTGAATGTAACCCCAGTCCTAAAACCCAATAAAAAAGATGATGAGATTGGGAGAAAGCGGGGCTCTTCAGTTCTCTTGGGTTTGCACCAATTCTACTGGTCTCCTCATTCAGGGAAGGCTATTTATCTCCACCACCAGGATAGAGTCTTCTTCATACCAACTGGCTTTGAGACTGGGATTACATTAGACTGCAGTAAGAGAGGCAGAGCCTTCAGGAATGCAGAGGTGATCATCCCTCTAGACTGCCTTGGTCAGAACTCATCTGGAGTATTGTGTTCAATTCTGAGCACAATAGTTTGGAAAGGATATGGTTAAGCAGGAGATTGTCTAAAGGAGGGCAACCAAGGCGAGGGGCATTGAGTCCATGAGCTTGGTAGGTTTCGCCTTCAGAAGTCTCGAAGAACTATCCTACAGAAGAAGGTTAAACTAGTTCTGCTTACACCCAGAGGGCAAGAACCAGAAACAATGCATAGCAGCAAAGAGGAAAATCTGGGCTCAGTGTCAGGGAAAATGTTCTAAACATGAGAGCTGTTCTAACCCTGATTCTGAGATTCCGTCTCAGCAGAGGTCTTCAAGCAGAGGTTGAATGACTGACTACCTATTGAGTATGCTAAGTATGTAAGTGACCTTACATTTCCCCTTACTTCCTTTCCTACTCAACTAGGCCTGTGCTAACATGTGCTTGCAGAGGGGTGAAGAAGCAAGGCTCAAGAGGAACCATCTTTGCTGTACCGACTTTGTACAGCACCCAGAAAAGTCATGCACAAGTGGGCTTGTTAACACCAGTCAAATCCCTTTCAAATCATGAAACCTCTGAAGTGGTCGCATTACTCAAAATCGCACTGCGCATTTTCACTGGACTGGAAACAATTACCATATTCTATATAATTATAACTTCAAATAGCACAAATTCGAATACGTGTGGCCACCTTAGAGAAATCATTATTTACACTAATCCTTATGTGGCTATAGGACAGACCCCAAGGGACATCCAAATTTGTAGGTTATGGTGGAGTTTGTTAAAATAAGTAATTATTATTATTAAAATAAGTAATTACTTCAAGGGCCTGCTCCACTCACACAGCCCATAACCCTTCCACACCTTATTAGATCATTTCTTGAGCTGATATGACTCAAACAATGAATTATTTGGTGGCTAAAACAAAAAAAAAAGTCCGGTGGAGTTTAAGTGATTAGATCTTTCAGACAGAAGTGGGTACAGGAAGTTGAAGATCAGTGCTATTTAATAACAGTAAAAGGAGTATAAACAGTTCAGCATAAGGTTAATAATAGCTAGCATTTATATGACATTTTGCGATTTGCAAAGCACTTTACAAATCTTATCTCATTTTGTTCTGACAAAAACTTGGAAGGTAGGTGCTATTACTACCCTCATTTTACAGATGAGGAAACTGAGGCAGTCAGAGGTTAAGTCATTCACCCAGGGTAACACAGCTAATAAGTGATTTGAGGCAGGATTTTAATTCAGGCCTTCTTGATTCCAGGTCCAGTTCTCTATCTACTGGGCCATCTAGCTGCCTCAGTTACCAAATGGTAATTTCCATAAGGAAATGGAAAAGTACGCTCCCTTCCCTGTCCTACACCTCAAAACTCTGGGCTTTATCTTCCATTCTACCCTCCTTTGCTGCAGTCTGACAATAGCTGACTCTTTTCCTTACCAAGGACAGCTCCTCTACTTCTGATCCTGTTTCTTCTCAAAGTTTGTCCCTTCCATCACTTCTCCAAGTGCTTAATAAATGTCATTTGAATGTTTGAGAGGCTCCTAGTGTAATGGGGGAGACAGCATGCAAGCAACTATATACAGACAAGATAATCTGAGGTTGTCTCAGAGAAAAGGCACTAAGATTAAAAAGGACTGGGGAAGGCTTCTTGCAGAAAGTTTGGTGTTAGAAGGCAGAGATGACAGGGGAAAGCATTTCAGGTGTGGGGGACAGTAAATAAAAATGCCTGGTCTGGAGATGAAGTTTTAAATTCAAGAAACAACAAAGAGGCCAGTATCACTGGATCATAGGTTATGGGGAAGGGAGTAAGGTAGAAGCAGATTGGGAAGGAGTGAAGGTGGGGGTGGGGGTGGGGCAGGTTATAAATAGAGGATTTTATATTTAATCCTGGAGGTAACAGGAAGGTATTGAGTAGGTTAGGAAATGAAGGCTTGCATCAGGGTGGTGGTAGTAACAGAGGAGAAAAGGGGGAGATGTGGGAGATATTATGGAGGTAAAATTGACAGGCCTTGGCAACAGATTGGATATGAGGGTGAGAGACAGTGAAGAGTAGAGGATTACACCTAGGTTTCAAGCCTGGGGTACTGGAAGGATGGTGGTGCCCTAGACGGTAGCAGGGAAATTTGAAGGGGTAAAGGGTTCAGTTTTGAGCTCAAGTTGGAGATTTAAGATTGGCGATCAGCAGAGAAGTTAGGGCTGGATAAGTAAATTCGAGAGTCATCCTCATAGAGATGATAATTGAATCTGTGGGAGCTGATGAGATCATCAAGAGAAACAGTATAGAGGGAGAAGAGAAGATGGCCCAGGTCAGAGATCTATGGGATACCCACAGTTAATGGGCATGACCTAGAGGAAGATCTAGCAAAGGAAACTGAGGAGTGATGAGAAGGATAGGAGAAACAGGAAACTGCAGCATCACAGAAACCTAGAAAGAAGAGAGTGATAAGGAGAAGAGGTTGATCAACAACGTCAAAGTCTTCAGAGAGGCCAAAGAGGATGAGAATTAAGAAAAGGCTATCGGATCTGACAATTAAGAGATGACTGACAACTAGAGAAAGCAATTTTGATTGGAAGATAAAGTAGGAAGCCAGACGTTAGAGAGCGAGAGGAAAGTGAGGGCACTTATTAGTGCACTTAAGAAGTTTAGCCACAAGAGGCAGGGAAAAAAAAAGATCAAATGAGGATTTTTTGAGAATGGGAGAGATGTGGGCTTGCTTATAGGTAATAAGGAAGTAGCCAGTAGACAGGGGAGAAAGAACATAAATGAGAGAGTGGGGTGATAGCCAAGGCAACCTATTGGATGACAGAGTTTGGAATGGGATCACTTGTACAGGTAGATGGCTTTGTCTTGGCAAGCAGTAGGGTCACCTCTTCATGTGAGATAGGAGTGAAAGAGGAGGTAGTGGCAGAAGGCATTTGAATTATTAGGAGGGGAGAAGAAGGAGCTCTCAGGAAACAGCTTCAACTTTTTGAATAAAATATGAGGAAAAGTTCTAAGCTGAGAGGTTAGAGGGAGAGGGAGTCATGAGATGTTTGAGGAGGAATGAAAAAGTTTGGAAGAGTCTCTGTAGTGAGTTAGATAGTGAGTTAATTAGGACTGCCTAGCAGCAGTGAGGGCCCAGTTGAGGTTATGTTACACAAATCTGCGGTGGAGCTAATCAAAATGGTTGCATGATTTATTTTTTTCTGCCTTCATTCAGCAGCACATGTGTAGAAGGGAAAGGCAGAGAGTTGTGGGAGTGCTCTAGGGATGAAGCTTGTCAGGGCACAATTGGCAATATGATAAAGTGGCAAGGGACCCTAAATTAGACAGAACAGAGTTCTGAACTAGTTCACCAAGAGGTCAGGATGGAGAAAGGAGGAGAGTGTTGCCCATTTGGAGGTGATGAGAACTGAAGGATAAAGTGATTAAATGGCCATGGTGTAGACAAAGATCAGGTTTTAGTATCAGAAGCAAAGGGAGAGGTAGAATGTCAATAGACTGTGATCAGATAAGGGCATTTCAGAGTTTGTGAACATGGAGGAGGTGAGCTGGTAGATGATGGCAAGATCAAGTCTGTGACCATCTTCTTATGTGGCTGAAAGTCATGGAAAGTAAGAAGTTTGAGGCACTGGGAGGGTAAGGTGTTTGAAGGAGTATCAATATGTGTGTTTAAATTCCTTAGGATAAAGGCAAAGAGTCGGGAATGAGAGAAATATTGTGAGCCGCACAGTGCATTCCTTGAGAAAGAAAGGAGGGTGAGCTGGACGTTTACTGACAACAACAAGATTTTGATCGGGTGGAAGATGTAGATTGCATGGTTGTCTTTAAACCTTACCATAGCTGACCAAGAGGAGCATAAAATTTTTGTTCTTCAACAGCCGGACAATGCTTTTAAAATAAGTAGTCTTCTGTGCTTCCATCGTATAGCTCAAGTACTGGGCATGGCTTGGGGGATATTTGGGCTTCTCCCTGAATACTTTTAAAAAGTAAGAAAGGAATGAACAAGTCAGTTACCTGCACATAATGTTCAGCAGCTATAGATGAAAGACAAATACTTTAGCCTAATATTTAAGGTCTTCCACAATCCATCCTCCAGCCCAGGGGTGGGGACCCAGGGGTGGCCCTGGATTCAGTCAAAGGGCCGCAGTTGAGGACCTAGAAGGCCACATGTGGCCTTGAGGCCACAGACTCCCTACCTCTGCTCCAGACTATCTCTCTTGTCTTATTCTACTCTACTTTCTTTCATACTCTCTATACACATTCCAGCCATCAAGGACCACCAGTTACTCCCTAATTATGCCCCAAACTTTTCAACCTCTATCCATTCATACTTATTACCTATATTCCCTTCATATCTCTGTCTATTAAAATCCAACCTTTCTTTTAAAATTCAGGTAAACTACCTTCATGCAGCTATCCCTGATGATTTTCCCAGTGGAAAGCCACTTATCTCTCATCAAATATTCTTATAGGACTTTGGCTCTCTGTTCTGCCCCTCTACCTTGTATGATGCTCGTATGCACTTCATGTTTTCCCCTAGAGGGCAGGGACTATGTCATTTAAAATTTTTGTATCCTCAGAATCCAGCACAGTGTATTACATGTAATATTAACTTAATAAATGTCTTTTTTACTTAATAAATTTATTTTTATGTAGTCACTTCATAAATTGATTGAACCGATTCCTTAAAGCGCCACCATTGCATGGAAGCTGAAACTGTCACACTAACAAGAGCAGCATCTTCCAAGGAGCAGAACGAGCATAAAGTTTAGCTCTGGAAGGGTTCCCAAGAGCCTACCCCATGAAGCAACTTTTCACTGCTTCTGGCTTACCAAATGTTCTCTATGGTTAATTATTTATCACAGTTTACAGAAGGACTTGATCCCTCAGGTACAGATGCAACAGTTTGGAGAACTGAGAATTCCAGTAATAAGCAACAAGTTAACACACCAGAAAGCCATGAGGAAATTGCAAAGCTCTGAAACTAAAATGTACAATAATAATAATAGCTAACTTTTTTATAGGGCTCTAAGGTTTGCAAAGTGCTTTACAAATATTGTCTCATTTTTGTCCCCACAACAACCAGGGGGAGTAGGTGCTATTTTGCAGATTAGGAAACTGAGGCAGTTAAGTGACTTTCCCCAGGATCGTATAACTAGTAAGTTAGCATCTACTTAGTAACTACTAAGGCAGGATTCAAACTCAGGTTTTCCTGACTCAAGGTCCAACACGCTATCCATTGTGTCACCCAGCTACCCACGTAAGAAACAAAGAAACCAAAAGCAAGAGTGGTTGGTATTGGTCCTCTGGAGAAGGTGCTCATAAACATGGTGCAATGTTTGTCTCACAAAGGATCTAAAAGGAATTTTTAAAAAGAATCATAAATGTTCATCTTCTGAAACGAAACATCTATTTCTTCCTTCTTCAGCCCTGCACTTTTCTCACCATACTCTATCTAGCCAGGGTACCCTTCCCCAACCCTCTGTCCAGCACTCCTTAATGCGTAACCTCCCCTCATTTAAAGCTAAACTCCCTGAGGGCAGGCACTGTCCTGCTTTCTTCTGTACTGGCCATTTCTTAAACTTATTCTAAACGTAGTAAACCTTAATAATTAATCTATCTTACCTATCTAATCTCTACCCCTCCTCCTTCCCTCCACTAACTAAACCAATGGAGCACAGACTGAATTAATTAATCAGATCTAGCCATTCAACCCAGTCAAGCCACTAATCTAATTTCCCCCCCCCTTTTTTTTTTAAAAGTCAGCAGTTGTTTGGCTTTATCCATTTGGTGAAAATGGATAAAGCTATGTATAAACAATTTAAATGTGACCCTTCCTAATCAAAATCATTAGCATCCCTTCCCCACAACCCCACCATTATAGCCCTGAATTATCTCTAAAGTTTATCTGGAGTAAGAGGAAACCCTGGAAAACAATAATGTATTTTCTTTTAGAAGATCAGAGCCGACCTTTCACCCAGAAAGTACTCAGAAACCCTGACTTCAAAGTTCAGGCTTCTCACTCTCCAGGAAAAGACTCAGCTAACTTTCCACCCCCTCAGCCATTGTATGATCCTGCTCACTTCCCCTTTAAGTAAGGGAATGAATATAGGGCAAGAAGACATCTCTCTGTAAGGGCAAGGAGCAATAAGGTTTAAGACATTACAAATCAGAATTCTTTCTGGATTTCTAAACCTTTTACTCAACCATTTTCACCAGTGCTTGGTAAAAACAAACCAAACCAAACCAAACCAAACCCAGAAAAGTCAGTAATTGCTGATGGCTGGCTGTCTACTGAAAATGTCAGAATCTGGAAATAACTGCATTGAAATTTGACATTGAAAATCTGGCACTCGCTTTTTTGCTCTAATTTTGCTTTCCAGATGAAATGAATGAATGAAAATATAGAAAGTCATCAATTTGTGAACAGATTGTTGTGAACAGACAACTCCAGTTCCTCAGAAGGATCTCCTCCTCTCCCCACTCCCCTGCCCCAGATGTCCATCAAGCCACAAGTTTGACATCTCTGGTCTGGATAACCTCTCAAGTCTCTTCCAACTCTTTATCTAGGATCCTATGAAACAACTTTCCCTTGATGTCCGAACTCCTTAAACCTGTCCTACTATGAAAGACTCCACTGACAATCAAGAGAAAGAGACACATGTATAAGAACAGAATTTAAATGAGACCTCATCATTTGTACTAGCCTATGGTGTCTGTGACCCAAGCTCTAGTATCAACAAGCATTTATTAAGAGCTTATTAATAATGTGCCTGGCCAAAATGATGGAGTGAGAGGACCTGGACCCCTAAAAAGAAAAGACCACGTCTTTGAAAGCAACTCAGTCCCTGAATTTCCCCATACATTTCGTAGCCTGGTTCACTGGCATCTCTGCCCCAGGCATCTGGCCCACCTCAGCCCACCTAGATACCTGACAGTCCTTTCATTGTCACTCTGGCCCACCACAGACACTTAATACTCCTTTCACAATCCCCCTGACCCACTCCAGATCACCTAACTCCTTTTACTATCCCCTACTTGGCCCACTCCAGACTATTTGCCACTTCTTAATCCCATCCAGATCTTTTCACTGCTCATTTTTTGTATGTAAGTATCAATCTCACCCCCATCAAGCACAGACGCACTAGGAATCTAGCCCGCTTTGCTGGCGTTACAATAAACCTTGCTACTTTGACTGGAAGAAGGCTTGAGTGCTTGAATTCTTTCCAGGCAGATCACCCCTGTGCCCTGACATTTCAGGGTTCCCAGCAATCCCAAACTGCATCAAAACCATTAACCTAACTTAATGCTAACAAGCAAGGGAGGACTATTTTCCATTCCAAAGGGAAGTTGAGAACAAAGCTGAAGGGAGAAGACAGAAACCATCCCCCAGAAAATCATTCCAGTATTTGGCATTATCAATCAGACAAATAGGGCCTTTGAGTTTTGAAGCCAGGTCCGCACTATTCCTGGCATATAGCAGGTGCTTAATAAATGCTTGCTGACTATTCAGGACTATTGTCATCTTGCCATCATGCTTCATCAGTAAATGGAGCAATCTCTTCCCAGAGGTTCTGAGATCCAGGTTGTGATGCTTTGGGAGCTAAGCTCACAACTCTCTACCAACAGTTCTATACCTCAGTTGGAGGTCTTTTGGACCAACTCCTGCTAGGTTAGGCCTCCTATACTTACTGAAGATGACAAGGATGAAGAGAAAGGAAGCCACAGCTCCTGTCATGTAGAACATAATGCTAATGTGGTGGGCAAGTTCTTCCCGGTCCTCTATGTTGGGTACCAGAAGAGGAGGAATCAAGAACCCTAAGGCAATACCAACCTGTAAAGAGAGAAAAGGGATGGAGATCATATTACTCTGGCGAAGGGTATATCAACATCTGTTCTCTTGTTAGAGAGAAGGATGTTAGAGTCCTATTTCCCAAATTCAACCCTTCCCAAAACTGAGCGCATAATACTTCCCCTTCAATGCCCATCAATTGAGGAATGGCTGAACAAATTGAGGTATATGAATGTATTAGAATACTATTGTGCTATATAAAATGATGAGCAGGCAGACTTCAGAAAAAACTGGAAAGACTTTCATGAACTGATGCTGAGTGAAATGAGCAGAACCAGGAGAACATTGTACACAGTAGCGCAGCACTATGTGATGATCAACTATGATTGACTTAGCTCTTCTCAGCAACACCAAGACAATTCCAAAAGACTCGGAAGAAGAACTATGGAGTCTGAATGCAGACCGAAGCATACTATTTTCACTTTTTTTTGTTTTTTGCTTTTTGTTTTTTCTTTCTTGTGGTTTTTCCCTTTTGTTCTGATTCTTCTTTCACAACATGAATAATACGGAAATATGTTTAACATAGTTGCACGTTTATAACTTATATCAGATTGCTTGCTGTCTTGGGGAGGGGGAGGGAGGCAAAGAATGGAGGGAGAAAAATTAGGATCTCAAAATTTTAGAAGAATGAATGTTGAAAACTATCTTTACACATAAATGGAAAAAATAAAATACTATTAAGGAAAAAAGAAACATATACATATATGTACATGAAAATACATATAGATTCACATATGCATATTATATATTCAAATGTGCACATGGGTATTTATTAAATAGGATAAAACTAAATACAACAGTATGTGAACAAAAAAAATTTCCTCCTCAAAAAAATAAGGGAAGACCAACCTCATTTATAAAATACAGATGAAAAATTCTAAATAAACTCTTGACGTATCTTGTGAGGTTGTAAAATAGTAACACACCAATTTTAACCATAGAAAAATTGTGTATATAATTAACAATGCTTAAAAGATAACTTATTCAGGTGGCAAGATGTTAGTACTTTGTAGAATTAAGTTAATAATAAGAAGAATTGAAGAAAAGAAAATTTAAAAATAAAATATAAGTACAAACTGTCTCTTCACTGGCCACCTCACCCAAGTTTATCATCCTGTTAAAAAGGGAACTGTGGTGTGAATTGTGTGATAATAATAATAGCAGTCAACATTTATATAGCATTTTCTATGTGCCAGGCACAGTGCTAAGTGCTCTACAATTATTTTTTCATTTGATCCTCACAACAACCCTTCCAGGTAGGTGCGTCCCATTTAGATGAGGAAACTGAGGCAAAAAGAGGTTAAATGACTTGCCCAGGGTCATACAGCTAATAAGTGAAAGTTAATTCCACTGCTTGAATGAAAAAAGCAAGCACCGAGGGGAAGCTAGGTGGTGCAGTGGATAGAGCACCAGCTCTGAAGTCAGGAGGACCTGAGTTCAAATCTGGCCTCAGACGCATACCACTCACCAGCTTTGAGACCCTGGGCAAGTCGCTTAACCCCATTGCCTAGCTTAAAAAAAAAAAAAGCAAGAACCACATGGCTACTTAAACAGAAAACAATTTTAGGATTATAAATTTGAGCTTGAAAATACGTGATAGGTCATCTATTCAAACACTCTTATTTCATAGATGAGAAAATTAAGACCCAGAGAAGCTGCATAACTCACTTGGGTTCATACAGGAAGTGGCAAAGCTAGGATTCAAATCCCGGGTCACCTGACACCAAATCCAGCCTTCTTTCCAATGTACCCCATTGCCTACATCAACTACAACCCACAAATAGCCCACATTTACATTACAGCTCACGTGTATCCTTGAACATGCTTTTCTTCTTAATGGAATAGGCCTCTACCATGGCCTCCATGTGGACTATGGCTTTTGAGTGTTTCCTACGGCTAACATTCTGACTCAGAGTTAGACATGCAAAACCAAAAGGGAAACTAATTTCAGACCTTCTCTCTGTACAAACAGTTGAAGATTATTAATGGCTTTAGGGCAGACACCAGGAAGTAGGCCCAAGCAGGGTTCCAAATCCCAACAGCAGAGATAAATAACAGATTCTTTTGTCTTTGCGCCTCACTTTTCCTCTAAGGGCCTCCAGAGGATTTAAAGACAGGATGAGCTTCCAATCTCTTAAAGCTCATGCCGACCTCAATTTCTGTTTTTCCTTTTTGGCCAATTATATCAACACTTGACTGTGGTATGATGCGGCATGTGACAGAATTCATGTGGACCATGGGACAGAATTCAGAATCAGCTTGCAGCTTTCATGTACTGATGAGAAGCAGGTAGGCATAATGAAAAAAAGAAGTAGAAGAAGAGTCAGGAAGATCTGGCTTCAAGTCCTACCTATGACAACCACGTTCTGTGGGGCCCTGGGCAAGTCACAGCCTCTCAATGTGCCCAGGGTAATCCTCCATAATCTATAAATTACAAAGCACATCCCAATTTGCTTTGGCAAAGGAATTTCTTTATTGGAAGTTCCCTAAACTATTGAAGCCTCAGTCCATTCCTTCCTCTCCCTACACTTGCCCCCAAAAATGGCAACCAAAAAACCTCTTGGTTGCTCTGTATGAGACTTCTCTGATGGAGACTTCCATAAAAATCGACATTGCCAGCTATCATTACTAGACGTATATCAAGGGGATGCTATAGGTATCACTTACCTAGATTTTAGTAAAATATTAGACAATTTCTTTAATCTATTAGTTCTTTCTGACCTCTCTGATAATTTCCAACAAGGAATGTACTGGAACCGATTTCTACCATGGAGAGCCGATTGTTAAATTTTTTAGAATGAGAATACCTTGGAAATGAGCAATGCTACAAAGCAGAGCTTTATTTTTGATGACTGTATACATTTAAGAAAGTGATAAAGAAAATGTTAATAGTCCAGATTAACCTGAAAAGTCTGCTGTGGGTACACACACACACACACACACACACACACACACACACACACATACACACACATATACACTCTCATATACATATGTTTGTGTGGGTTTTTAATGTGTGTGGAGAGCTGGTTGTTAAATATAAATGAAAACAAAATAAAATAAAATAAAATATTTATAAAATAAAATAAATAAACATAAATATATTTTTCATTTTTTGGTAGTAAAGTGTGAGCAGCACAGAATGCACAGGCATGACTGGGCTGCAATTAAATTATAGCAAAAATAGAAAAATAGTATATTGTAACAAATATAACATACAAAATATAAAAAATATTAAAATAATTTTTTTTTCTTAATTTAATTTTTTATTTTTATTTTTTTCAGTGAGGCAATTGGGGTTAAGTGACTTGCCCAGAGTCACACAGCTAGGAAGTATTATGTGTCTAAGGCCTGATTTGAACTCAGGTCCTCCTGACTCCAGGGCCAGTGCTCCATCCACTGCGCCACCTAGCTGCCTCTAAAATAAAATTTAAAACTAAATAAATACCAGCACAACAATGCCTCTGACTCTGTGATTATCTCAAAATAGTTTCTGTAATCTGCAGAAGATACTTTTGGTGCCTTCTGATTACTAGTACGAATAGTTTCAAATATTGAATTTGTATCTCTAACACCTAGCACAGCGTCTGACACACAATAAGTGATAAATAAATACTTGTTGAACATTTGATTGATTGATTCAGTTTTGATGTGGTCACTAAGACGAGGGCTCACTAGGCAGGGTGAAAGTAGAGACTTTGGAGTTCAAATAGGCACAAAGACAAGTCAAGTGAGAAGTAGAAAAACCCTCCCTGGAGTGAACCCTCACCTGTTTCTGAGCTAAAAGAGAAAGGGGAAGTTCTCAGGGCACAAGCCAATTACTGAAAGTCACATTTGACTTGGTTTGAACACACTAATTTCACCCCTTCATCAGTCATCAGATTAACATCTGGGTAAAGATGACAAACAGTCCCTGCTGTCTAAGAACTTAAATATTTTCAGTAGAGGGGAAGGGGAGATGGCTTCATTATTTACCAAATAAGATAAATACTGCCCCAGTTACTCTCTTGCTTTCCATTTTCCACTTTATTTTTGCATTTGACATAAATTATAAATAGGAGGAGAGACAAGGCAAAAGGCTTAAATGTCAAAGTCCGTGTGTGTCTCCAAACAAATTTCATGATTGCCGAGACTTTTCTACAGATTCTAATAAGCGTGTGGGCACACATCAGGAAGGCATGAACAAAACCAACCATTTGTCAAATGCATCCCTTGATATCCAGGCCCCATCCACATGAATGACAGAAAAGATCAAAATCAGTGTGTCCTGGAGAGGATCCTATTCTCCTGGAGAGCAGTCTCCAAAGTGGGAGCTATGACACAATCGTAATGGAACCTTGGCATGACCCCAAGGGGTCAGAGGGTGGCAATATCGGTAGCATCGCACCCTTGCAGCTCTCTTCTCATTTCCCACTCGCCTGCTTGCTTTGCAGACTTCTCTGACTTCTCATCATGACCCCAAGCTGGCCACCTTTCCCCTGTCCTTGCCCCTTTTCTATGTGTTATCTTCCCCCTTCCCTCTCCTCCTCTCCCTGAGGGCAGGGACTGTCTTTTTTATATTCTTATCCCTACTGCCTGGAACACAGTACACCCTTAGCCAATAGCGGGCTTAATTCTAACAAAATTATGTCAGTCTTCTATTCTTACAACACCCCCCCCCCTTTGCCCTCCTAAGGCTGCATTAGGTGCAGCCCCTCAGGTTGGTTATAACCTAACTGAACCCAGGCAACTAGCAGAAGCTATACTGAAAAAATTTACTTCTTTCCTCCCACTCCCTACAGGGTCCCTATGCCCTGCCCCTTTTATCTCTTGGCTACTGTAGAAACCCCCCAAGGACAGGCTCTACTCTAGGGTCATGGTCATTGAGCAAACAATGTTTCTCCCCCTTCCCACCAAATAAACACACATATACTTTTCATTTTTTGGTAGTGAAGTGTGGAACAGCACAGAATGAACAGGCATGACTGGGCTGCAATTAAATT